TTGTTCTCATTTGACCTTCCTTATCTTGGCCATTTTTATTCTACAATTTTCTTTTTTCTGTTTTTCTTTAGCTTTGCCTTTTTATGCCCTTCTCCAACTTAAGGCCATGAATTTCCAGGGCAAAGACTTGTCGTTTTAGGATCATGTTACTCTGGTCAAGAATCCTATACATTGTTGTTGCATAAAAGTATTATTGGTATGATTACCATCTTTCCCATCATTACCTTCCGTCCTTCCATCCTTCCTAGTCATTACCTTCCCTTTTTTAAGAGCCATGACTTCTTGCACCCGGTGGTGCCACATTTAACTGAAGATAGTGAGGGCTTCAGTGCCGGGATAAAACCATCCTATTAATGCATCAGTGCTGCCTACACTGATGCCTTTGAGCAAGTAAGCAAATAAATGCATATTCCTGGGCACACCAAAGCACAGCACTTCGTATTTTGACATAGACCAAGAAATCTGGCAGCAGCATTGCATATGTAACTCGGTTGCGAGTCTATCTCAGCAACACAATTAGTGACCTAACAAGCAGACTACAGCTAGGTGCCCATGTATTGTGGCCAACCCTGCACAAGCCCTCTTGCCACCTCATGCCTTTTCCCTTGTGGACGCATTATTCCCACCTGTACCCACTCCCCACCCTAATCAGCTCTGCTGCTGCTGCACCAGCCCTGAGGAGAATCGTGGGGCTGGAAAACAGCCTGTTGGGTCTCTCAGGCTCTTGAAGGGGAATGGAGGGCCAGCACCTGGTCTGGAGTGCCCTGCCTTCCACTCTCTAACCACCAGGTGGGGCTCTAGAGCACCTGCTGGAAGCATTGTGGAATGGCAGCAGTGGCCTCTTCTGGCTGGGGTGAGGTGGGTGCAGGAGTGAGCCATCCGCCACCCCTCAGGCTGCGCCCTCTGATGTGGGTGACTCATTCCGCTTCATGGGCAGGCTGGCTATGACTGAGGCTTGCCACCCTGCTTCTGAAATTCAAGACAGGCCTGACTAGGAATTTTACTGAGGCTTGATGGACTGCCATTCCTTGAACAGTAGGATACATTGGGCCTGGATGGGAAGCCCCAAGTTAAGCAGGCTTGCTTTAAAGCAGTCCTATAAGAAAGGGAGAAAAAGAAATCAGGTGCTGCCAGAAGCTTTTCAATAAGCCACCAGCTGAGATGAGATTTCTTCCAGGCTCAACATAGGCTGTGCTCCAGCTAATGTCGTGCATACATACCTCAGCATCACTGAAATCCGTGGGACTTAAGCATGACAGTTAACTCTTGCAAATTGCCTTTCAAGTAGTTTGCTCTAGTAATAGGAATGTATCTTTCTTTGTGAGGGAATGCAGCCCTAACATGGCAATGGGTGGAAAATTAGATGTTATTTGTTTATTGGAATGCAATATATAACAACCATGTTCAGCCACTCTCTGTTGGAAATTGCTTTCTTTGTATTGTCATGATCAGAATGTATAACAACAACAACCCAACCCAAGGGAGTGCATTCAGAGAGGCACAGTGTTTAAGCATTCTTTTAAAACCTGACATATAAATTACAGTACTTTGGCAGCTTAAATGCCTCCTGGTTTCTTTACTCACTTAGAGCTTGTTTGCACATCAGAAACACCCCCCTCTCCCCACAAACACAATCACCACAAGATGCTCTGGGACTGTCAGGGGGTTCATGTGTAGACAGGTGCTTTGTGTGACCAGGGGCCTCCATTCTGGCAATGCGCCATTTCTGAAAATGTCAACAGGACTTCTTGAAACTACTGACAATACAAAAGACACACACTCAGGCACCAGTTCATGTCACTGCAGCCTGGCCACAAGTTTTTCACTGAGCTGGTACATCCGCTCGTGTTGGCCCAAGGCATTTTAAACCCTGAAGCAGCACAGCCTGAATGTCCGGCTCCCTGGAAATGCCAACAGCCAGTGAAATCTCGGCGCACTTTTCGGGTAACAACCTTGTCTTCATCTATTCATTCCACCCCGCATGGTGTTACTTGAAGTTGGTCGTTTCACCCTCCTGCATAGCCAAGCTAGCCGTAGGGTGCCCAGCCCTCCTCTTTCACAGAGGATAGTCCTTTGTTTGAAGGGTGACCAGAAGACATCCTTGAATCAAAAGCGTCTTTTATTTGAAAGGATGTCCAGCCCACATCCAGGCTAGAGATAAAGAACTACAAGGACTGTTACAGTTCTTCATCATCAACAGTACCTAGACAGCAGACTGAACAGGATGGCACATGGGTTACCTGGTCACCATCTTCTACACTCTATTGTTGTTGTTAGTTGTGAAGTCGTGTCCAACCCATCCCGACCCCATGGGCAACATTCCTCCAGGCCTTCCTGTCCTCCACCATCCCCCGGAGTCCACTCAAGCTCACACCAACTGCTTCAGTGACTCCATCTAGTCACCTCATCCTCTGCCGTCCCCTTCTTCTTTTGCCATCTATTTTTCCCAGCATTAGGCTCTTCTCCAGGGAGTCCTTCCTTCTCATTAGGTGGCCAAAGTATTTGAGTTTCATCTTCACTATCTGGCTTTCTAAAGAGCAGTCAGGGTTGACCTCCTCTAGGACTGACCGGTTTGATCGCCTTGCGGTCCAAGGGACTCGCAGGAGTCTCCTCCAGACCACAATTCAAAGGCCTCAATCCTTCGGCGCTCAGCCTTCCTTATGGTCCAGCTTTCACAGCCATACATTGCAATTGGGAAAACCATAGCCTTGACTATACGCACTTTTGCTGGCAAGGTGATGTCTCTGCTTTTTAGTATGCTGTCTAGATTTGCCATAGCTTTCCTCCCAAGGAGCAAGCATCTTTTAATTTCTTGGCTGCAGTCCCCATCTGTGGTGATCTTGGAGCCCAGGAAAATAAAATCTGTCACTACCTCCATTTCTTCCCCATCTATTTGCCAGGAAGTGAGAGGACCGGATGCCATGATCTTAGTTTCTTAATGCTGAGTTTCAAGCCAACTTTTGCACTCTTGTCCACCTGCATCAAGAGACTCTTTAATTCCTCTTCACTATATGGAGATGTGCTATTGCCTGTTTTTTTGGTAATGCATTTTTGGCATTTAGTAGGTGACCATCCTTGGCAGCCCTGCAGAGTTGTATGGCCACTCCTCATCCTGCATAATATAGAAGGTAAGACTAGTCCCTAGAACTGTAGATCAGTAGTGTATGTGGATTTGGATCCAAAACACTATCCAAGTAGCAAAGTGTGTTTTAAATCCATTTAATTTTTAAAAGCAAGTTTGCAGCGCTTTTTTTAAACAGTCATTTCCACAAAATGCTTTTAAAAGCGAACATTTACAGCATAACTTTTTCACTATGCAATTATTAACATTTTCCTTCCTGGTTTTATTCCATTTTCATCCATTACACAAATAAAATGTAAATCATCTCATCTAATTTTGTTAATTATCTCATCTAATTTTGTTAAGGGGGTGTAATGCATGTTTGGTGGGGGAAGAGCAAATAACTTTCAGAAGCGACTAGGACAAGTGGAGCGCTGCAAAAGAAAATAACATGTGTCTGTTTTCATATGTGGCACAAAACTACACCCTCTGCTTTGACTTTCTCAGGTGCTGCCCCATTCACATGCACAACAGGTGCCCCATCCATGCTACTCATGCACTTGAGCACACATGGCTCAAGTGTGCAGCATTTGTGCACAATTCTATACACAGGCAGTACTGAAGCATACATAGTATAACATCTGATGGGAGTCTCTTTTCTGCTACACCCCCTTCCACCAGCAGTACATGACCTCACTTGTCCCTAACAGTCATAAACATCTGATAACATCTCAGTATGAACCAGGGCAAGAGTGGACTCGGTTCAATTAAGTGTTGTCAGGATAGTCAATAGCTTTAGATGCTTCATACAATGAAGGCTTGGTTTATTTCAACTTTTTTCTTAAAAATAATTGCCTACTAATGGTGTAAACCCAGGGTGTATATTAGTCACACTTTTTGTACTTAATGGAAGTAAGTAGTGATGAGTGAATTCAAGCTCTGTTTAGAATTACCGTATTTTTTGCCCTATAAGATGCACCTGACCATAAGACGCACCTAGTTTTTAGAGGAGACATCCATGTAAAGCTTCCTGATAATCACAGGCACATTCCCCATCACTTCCCCATGGGCTTCATTAAAAGACGGGTTGCCATTTGAAAACACACACCGACCTGTGATTAACAACTCTCACCTGCGCCGGAGGAGAGGGGAGGAGCAGGGCGCGCTGAGTGCATGCCGGCCAGGTGTGGTGCAGCCGGGCTGGCAGAGTGCCGGCGGTGGTCTTCCGGGCGGCGCAGCAGCAGGTCTTCCCAGGCGGTGGGGGTGAGCAGTCCGTCTCTTTGTGCGGCCGGTGGGTTAAAGCCCGCGCCTCCTTCTCCTCCGCACCGCTCCCCGAGCGGCACAGGTCTCACCTGTGCAGGAACGGGGGGGGGGGGGGGCGAAGCAGCGCACGCCGAGCGAGTGCGGGCCAGGTGGTACCACGTGGTGCAGGCGTGCTGGCAGCGTCCCGGGCGTCAGGCACACACATATTCGCTCTATAAGACGCACAGACATTTCCCCTTACTTTTGAAGGGGAAAAAAGTGCGTCATATAGAGCGAAAAATACAGTATCTTGCTACCCACCCTTTTTTGCTTTCTGAAAATTATTTTCCACTGCATAAAATTGGGCACATGTGCTGGTGGGCCTACATTAAAGTTCCTTATTGCTGTATTCAGCCACTGGAAAATGTACTTCCCAGGACCTCTCATGACTTAGAGCAGACTTATTCAATATGACTGGATACTGGACATAATACTCCTCATCATTCCTGGCCATGGCCCAAGCTGGCTGAAGTTGAGTCGTGCCCTAATATATCTAGAAGCCACCAAGCTGAGGGAACCTGGCTTAGAGCCTCCTGGAAATTCAACACATTCTTCCACCACTTTAAAAATGAATGAACAAACCCTGGAAGAAGAATGGGTGTTAGATCTGAAACAGAGACAGAAGTCACATACCATGTTTGCAGGAAGACAATCAATAGGGTCTGTGTTCAAACACACAGAAACTTTTGATAACAAACGTTTTCTTGGCTGGGTGCCTGATCGTGCATTTCATGTCAATCAGTGCATCGTTGAAAGTGAGGGGCTAACATATCATTTGTATTCCTAGCCAGGCAATCCGAAGCTTTGCAAACATCTTTAAAGGGCTCTCAAAGATTGTCTGGAGATGGCTGTAATTTTGCAGTTAGACATATACATTGGAGAGAACAGAGGCAATGTTAGAGGACTGCCCACTTGGGCTGGAGTCCCCAAGTTTTCATTTGGAGTCCTGAATCCCGGGGAGGCCATCTGCCCAACCACTCTGCTGTCTGTAGGCACTTGGTATTACTAGGGACCTGGATTATTTCTGCTGCATTGGATCCCTTGCTGTTTCTCCAGTTTTTTTCTGAAATATCTTCTCTCCAGTCTTCTATCTATCTCTTCTTATAGATAGAGGTTTTTCTTAGATGAGAAGGTTCTCTTTAGACACATATAGAGAGAGCCTTTAGAGCATATGTAAATGAGTATATTCAAATTTCTGTGTTTTTTGTTTTTGGGGTTTTTTTTTTTTGGTCTTTTGGGGTTTCTTTGTCCTGTGGGCCTGAGGCCCAGATCTTTTCAGGACCTAGTATTGCTCTCAGGGAGGTAACAGGATGGCTCAAAGAAAATGAAGCTCAGAAAACAGTCATAAGTGCAAAAAGGCCATAGAGTAAAACGCAAGGATAGGCAACCAGAAGTTGCTGGCCTTCCATAGCCAACGCTGATGTGAATATTTTGGAGGCCGACAGGCTGCACCATCCAGTAATGATCAGGGCTAGCAGAGTTCCCAGAAGTCCCCTGCAGGAACAGAATTGACAACAAAAATAATTGGTTAAGATGATTTGAATGAAAACATCTCAGTATTCTCGCTAAACAGGGATACAATGATAGCGGAAGCCTAGTAGCAAATACAACATCACATCAAGGCAAACAAACAGGAGCAGGTGGGAAGGGAGTCATTTTTCATTTGGGACAAACAAAACAGTCTCATAATTTGCAGCCTGAAAAGGCTAAGCAGCGAGCCATAAATTAGTGAGCGACTATCTCGTTTGCTAGAAGTGTGAGGCAAGCCATCTCAGCACTTTTCATGCCACAGTGCCCCAGAAGCCCACAGCAGGTAGAGAGAAATGGCCACACCATGTAATTTTTGCACTACTCAACCTGAAACGAAAGCCACATCTATGCAAGCAAAGTACAGAAATAAATGCAGGGTTTTTATACCACTTTGGTTTATATGGCAGTACTGGAATGCAATGCAGGCCCATGACTTTTCCATTACAACACACCCTGTCCTCCCACAGAACTACAGCTGTTGGGTTTCGCTAGATAGAAGGAATAGCTAGTAAAGCAACATATTCCTGTCATTCCGATATGCCTGCTGAGTTTATACTTATTGCAAAAACACATTTCATTTATTTCTCTTTTCATTATGTTTACGCCTGTTTCCCTCGTCCTATGGGCTCAGTGCAGCTTACTGCAATGTCATCAATATCTAATGGGCGGCTTGCGGAAACAAAAGAGGGCAAAGAAGAGTGATGAATAATTCCTTTCTACTCACAAACATGTTGTTGTCCCTGTTCGCTCTATTTCTTGCTGGTCTCTTGAGACACATACCTTGCTCAATCGTCTTTTCCTTTGCCAATCCCTTCCTCTCCGCCTCACTCCGCACATACCCACAGAAAACAAACCATTCCTTTTAGAAAAGTTCTGTCAGGTGCTTAAGTGCTCCTCAGTTCAAGGGAGAGTTCAGTGGGTGGGGGCTGTAGTGAGGGAAAAGTGATGGTTCCTCTTGCCTCCTTTGCTTTTCTCTTCCATCTGTTCCTATGAGAGCTTGGCTTTATTCTCTTTATTAATAAAACTAGAGTTCTACATCCCATGGAATCTTTAGGATGCCACAAGGAGAATGGGAAACACAGGCCTTGGCCCAAGGATTGTACTTTGTGATCAGTTCACTAGACTCAATGAGGTCATTTCCTAAAACTGGCAACAAACTGCTCTGTGATCAAGCACAATAAAGCTTCATTCCTATAGGCCTTACCTGCGTGCAAGTCCAACTGATCTTAATGGGACTTATCTCTAGGTAGCTATGCTTAGGATTGCACTGTAAGCAAACTGGAGTTAGCTCTATCTGTTGTTGTTGTTTTTAAAATGCACATGCATTGCTTTATAAATGAAAATTAAATGTGCCTATAGCTATAGAGCCAAAATACTATTAATGGATCCTTCAGACAAACCAATGGTTGTCAGATCAAGGTAACAAGAGCTCTATGTTGTGGATTATTGCCAGGGCTTTCGCCACACAGATGGAATAAGCCATAAAGGTAACACACACACACAGACACACACACATGCAGGGTGGGGGGCAACAGCAGAATATATTTATATAAAACTATTACTTTAAAAAAAAAGAAACAATAGAAGGTTTTCATTTCCTGGATGCAGTTTTCTACAGCTCCCTCAGCTCCCACTTTAATGAAGAATAAAATAGGTGGAGATACAGGAGGTACTTCATATATCTGAAAACAGGTTAGATAAACCTGGGAGATAAACTTATAATTCCCACTCATATCAAACTTAGGTGGTCTGGTGCTATACGTATCAGTTGGGAAATGAAATAAACTGAATGTATTTACATACGTATATAGTTTTACACACCTAGGGACTCTCCAGAAGACACAAAAACCACAACCTAATTTTTTGATTGATCATCCAAAAATAAGAGGGTGGATTTTGCATACTCAGGAGACCTCCTAGGTATATAAAAGTATACACAAACCCCCAAATGGTTTAGCAAGGACCTGTGAGGCTCTAAGGGCAGAATAATAAAGTTTGTGGTTGAAAGATGTTGAGATGTGGAATATGAAGTTGGCAGAAGGGGAAAAAGGATAATGGAGGGCAGGGGGGAAGCGGGAAGTGAAGGCTGAACTCCTGAAAATTTTATACTAAGCATCTGAGGAAGCAGATTGGAAATGTAGGACACATGCTGTGAAATTAAGATTCCTCTTGTTCCACCAGGCTCCTGTTCTATGCTTGCTTTAGGCCTGAACAGGAACATTCTTTTATGTAGTGGGAATAGTTAGGAGCAGGGTTACCCTGCAAAGTTTTATAAGATGGACTCTCCATCTACAGAGGCAGCACACCTCTGGGCATGGTGTGTTGGAGGCAGGTAATAACGGATTAAGTGTCACAGCTCTGAGTACAAACACATAATAGGAGTCTTCCCCAGTTCATAGCCCTGCAGATGTGTAACTTTCATCATCTTCACCAAGCATGGTGAATGATCAGGAATGATGGGGATTGCAGTCGACACCTTGGGAGAGTACTAGACCGGAAGGGCTATTTCTGAAGTATGTGGTCTACCACTGTGGAAAATCAAATGCTTAATATGGCCTGATCTAATGAACTGATTCTCAGGGATTGATTCTGTAAATGTCTGGACAGGAAAAACAGCCCTGCAGCTTCCAGCTTGCTCTAACCAGCCATTGTAGGAATTTTTTTCCTCCCTAAAACTTAGGATGGCACCCTAATATCCCAGCCCAACACTCCTCTTTCTCCATTCTTGTCGTCCTCTGTCTTAATAAATCTTACATACAGTAAATACGCCTTTATACCATTTGCAGCAACTTGCCAGCATTCTAGATTAAATTAATACTTACTGTAGGGAGAAGAATGCTGCACATGTGGAGAGAATCACCATAGGCAGGAGGCAGTAACCTAGCACACTCGCTACACATCCATAGGAAACACTGGCTATGCTCATCAGGTTCAGCAACGCATGGATTGCTATGCATCCAATAGCACTCATGCCATAAATATAGCCAAAATGAACTTTCCCTGCCTGTAGAAATGAACAAAGAGGCTGCCGTCACTGTGTGAATGATGGATTGGATGGCAAAGAGGTGGCGTATTCAAGTATATGCAGAATCACAGATACTTTAATTATGGTGCATTGAGTGCAATGAGGAAGTAAATGGGAAACTCAAAGCTCATTGAACTCTGTAAAATGTTGTCTCTAATTTTAGAGTTTATACTGGATATACAAAAATCTTGTTTGGTGCCATTAAGAATAAGAAAGTAGTTTCCAGGAAACTGATTTGACAGCAAGACTGAAAGATAACACCATTGGAACAAAGAAGGAGACTGGAGATAAATTAAGAGAATAAAAGTTGACTTTGGGGATAAAAATCTTCTTTACTGGTGGCATCTGATTGAGGGCTCTCTTTCTAGTTCAAACCAACAACACTATTTAAATCCTTATTTAGTAAGTGCAGCATGCTGAGATCAATAAAGAGTCAAGTCATCATCAACCTAGAAATGAAACAATATTTGCGTTTGTAGATTGCTCTAGACTTTTATGTCTGATGAACAATGTATAGTTTAAAGGATGTTATTTAAGTTTTTATTTTTTTATCCCTCTCTCATCATAGAAGAACCCAGGCTCAGCCAAAAAAGCTGATTGAGAGAGCTGGAAAAAGGGAAATTCAAGACAGAGAAAAAGAAGTGCTTTGTCACACAGTGCATAGCGGAACAGTGGACAGTGATGTCCACACCCTGAGAAAGCTTCAAAGCTGAGCTAGAGAAATTCATGGAGCATAAGGCTTGCCATAATGACTGTATATTACCCTCAGGATCAAAAGCAGTGGTCCAGCTCGCATGATCACGGAGGAGAAATAAGCCATGGTGACCTGCCTCTCTCACTTGTGCGTCCCAACACGGGCTCTTGTAGGGTTGCGGGTGACTTGCTTACATGGCACAACAGGACAAGCCATGCTGCCGAGGGTATTTACACAACTCCCCTGCACATGCACAGAGGGGCAGGGAAACAATTAGCCATCCTGGCTTATTCCTCTGTGTAACAGTTGCTGAAGAACCTGAGTGGGAGGGCCCTATTGCCCTCTGGTCCCACTAGAGGGCCTCTCACAGCCTGTCCATTGTGGGAAACTGGATACTGGGCTAGAGAGGGCTTTGCTCTGATCCTAGAGGGCTCTTCTTGGGTCTTTTCTTTGACATCATGCCCAATTTGGTCCCAATTCTCACTGAAATCATTGACCTTTTAACTTAGCTGGAACTGAGTAATGAAAACAGTTCCTTTCTCATAGCAAACAAGTATGCCAGGGAGATTCCCCCACCCCTCAGCAGCTAGTTTTCTGAAAACACACACAATACAATCTCTCTCTCTCTCTCTCTCACACACCCCCCCCCCCCACACACAGAGGTATGTAAGCAGAAACATTCAATCACGTGTGACTTCACTTATTGTCTGAGGTCATTCAGTGCAAGCACAGGTTTATCAGCATAGTGAGAACCAGGTCCATGTTACACTTTGGTTGCTGAATTGTGCCTGTACTTTCTTTTGCTGTACAATGAAGATTCTGTGAAGATTCTGTTTTGTCAGGTCAAAGAAATAATGCACCTCTTTGTGAAGGAAGTTGATACTTTAGCGAAAATACAAAAAAATAGTTTCCTAAGTGTGCAAACTTGTCCATTGTCCACAAATGAACCCTCTGAAGTATTCAGTCAAATTGTTATGAATTTCTGATTCATTTTTATGCAATTGTGATTCATTCACTAACACTGCAGCTAAGTTTACAAAAAGTAGCTACTGCTACTTTAGCCCATCTACGACTAGCCCTTTTTTTATAGCTTTGCCAAGTTGCTAGGGGTAGTGTTTAGGATGTTTGTGGCTGCCCTGCTCTAAGCCAGCCTTCCCCAGTGTGGATGTCCTCTGGACTCCACTAGCATGGCCAATGGTAAGGGACAACTGAAGCTGTATCTCAGAACATCTGGAAGAAACTGGCTTGGGAAAGCTGCCATATACACTTCCCTGAAAGTAAGCTCTATAGAAGTCAATGGGACTTACTGTTGAGTAGACCTGTGTACATTTGGGCTTTTAAAACCCTGTTAGTGCAGGCTTCAAAGCCTGTTATGAAAATATGATGGAAAAGTTTATGTCTGAAAGAAAATTAATGGACGGCTGTCTTTTCATCAACACTCATATTTCCAGTATTCCCACAACTGCTGCTAACATGTTGCTGGCAGATAATGTCATTCATGTAACACATTACTGCCACATTACTCCCAAGTACCTCTGCAGCATTAAAGGATCTCAATAGGTTTAGCATTTTCAGTCTGAGTGGGAAAGCTTGATCTGCAATATTTTGTGCAGATGCAGTGCGTAAACACAATGCCAGCAATAATCAGTTAATATTTTAACTTGTTTGTTCCAGAGTGTTTGATTAATTGACACAGGCATACTTAGCAGCTTAATCTAAGATTAACAAATTGCTGTGCCAGAGGCAGAAGAAGGCAAGATAGCAACTAAATGAAAACTCTCTTTGATATACAGCTTGACAGTGGAGAGAGATTCGGTGCAATAAAAATGGGATGGGGCAGTTGGGGAGTAAAGATGGAAAATTAAGTTGGGACAGATTTAGCCAAATTGGCTTTGCATTTACTGCATTTTACATGTGTTTTATCTCCTTTACTTTCATTAGAGATTCATTTTAGATGAGCCCAGGAACCAGCTGTTAAAAAAATCAACTGATTTAGAGCCCAATATTTCTGATGAAGTTTATGCATTGTGGTACACTGCACATTATTTTTTTCAAGCATAACAATTCATGACCCAGCTCTGAGGCTGGAAAAGCTTGCACCCCCAAATCTGTCGGAAATACATTTCAAAAGAAAATCTGCTGTAGTCTTTCAGTTACTGTTCCAAGGTGATTTCTCTGTAGGTTCCAGCCTGAGATTGTAGGACCTTTTAACAGTGTTTCAACACAAAGTTCTGAACTTCACTCCTTTACATTCCTCTCGGCCTCACCAAAGTGAGCTTAGGCAGGCACAAAACTTGAGCAGCTTCTTCAAAGTCATACTATTTATAATTCTTCCTTTGAGTGAATTGTGTATATGCAGGCAGACAAGCAAGGGCAGGTATAACTAGACCAGTCTGTCTGCCTGTCTCTTGGGAAAACCTGATCAACCACTGCCATGGCTGTATTAAGTGGACTGGTGGTCACATTTTCTGAAAAATGTCACAGTGCACATTGGTCAGACCTTTGAAAAGCTTTCCAAGTTAGGGTCCATGATGCCAACCACTGGAATTGGAGGTTTCAGTTGATGCTTGAAGTTCAGAAAGTATTGTTCTGTGGAAGGCAATCTATGATGGTGCCTATGAACTGTGATTCTACATGAACATATCTCCCCTTTTTAGCCGAAGATAGCTCTGAGGGCTGAGCAAGCACACCCTCAGGTAGGTTACAGGCCTCAAGTGAGGAGATTCAAGGTTCTGGAAACAGTCCCTTCTTGGGGCCAAGAAGAGAACCAAGTAAGTACATTTGTACCTACAAGGACCATAGCATGACCAGCTAGTGTGGTGGTAGGTTCATCAGGAAAGAGGCTTCAGTGGTCTAGGCCCAATTTAGAAAGGCCCTCAATACAAAATGCTCCATGTATATATGGATCCAGCCCTGGCCTGTGACAATCTGCAGCATATCTAGAGAATATTATCTTTGTGACGAACTAATTGCAATGTCTGGGTCAGTATCCCACTTTGTATGGGTCCAATTCACAAACATGGAAGTGAATAAGACATTTTTGCGGAACCATTACAACATTGCTATCTGCACCTCCTCCACCCATCAGTACAGCCATTTCTCATTTGCATCATTATGTAAATAGAGGCTCTGACGTCCCTGCTCACATACTTCTTGCTTTCTATACTGCCAAAAAGCGTTGCTAGATTCTGCAGAAGAGTTTTGTATTTTTCTTCTATATTTATCAGCTGCTTGAAATACAATGTAGAAATCTTAATCTGAATTACATGCTTTTCAAGCGTACATTATGATGCATTAGGCAGAAAAAAAATACAAGCAAACAGCAATAGATCTGTGAAGCTGTAAATTACAGTATTCAGGTGCAAGAGAATGAGTGGAGGCACGTCAGCAGTATGCCTTCATCCTGCTAAGAGCACAATCCCGTGCATGTTTAGAGAGAGAAAAGGTGCCACACAAATTCCCAGCATTCCCCAGTCAACTTCGTTGTTGTGGGAGGAAGGGCTTTTTTTCTGTCTAAACATGAATCCCAAGTCTCGGGTTCTTTAGAACAATGGTGATCAAAAGGCAAATTGGGACCCACTGGTGGATCTGTAGGCACTTTGCAGTAGTATAGTAATGGTTTCTGATTTTCAGTGGATTAACAAGGACACAAGAAACGTTCTATTTCCCTCCAAAACTAGGCTGTCAAAACCAAGAAATGCGATGTGTGTGAGAGTGAGCGAGCAGAGGAGTAAGAGAAGTGTGTGTGTGTGTGTGTGTGAGAGAGAGAGATTTGCATAAAAGCTTGTTTTGATACTGGGAAAAAAAACTATAGGGCTGAGCATATACTCAACTCTGTGCCCATTTCCTAAGTGGATCTAGCCTCCTCTATGCCCACTTCCCCGAGCACTCAGCAGCTGATCCCAGCAGCTGGACCTGGAGGGCTAGTGAAAAACTTGATCCTGCAAGCATAAAGGCAGGGGCAGCTCCTCGTTCAGGAGGGCCCTTGGATTGGCTCCCCCTCTCAGTGAATCTTGCTGCTCCCTACCACTGGCACCAGCTGCTAATGTTCCTCGTTCTTTTTCTCATCCCTGCTATCACTTGCTTGCTTGACTGGCAGGGAGGCCACAAACCCAGTGGCACCTGCTGCCCCTTCTTCGTGCCACCGCCATTAGCTGAGACAGGTGGACAAGCAGATTGCAGGAGCGAAAAAGAAAAGCAAGTTCCAGGGGACTCTTTCCCAGGTTGCCACAGGGATCCTGGGATGACTGGCAAAGGGCACCCTTGCCCTCAGTTGCTGCACCCACCACTGCTGTGACGGGCAGGTCCTTCCTGTGGTTTCTAGTCAACGAATGCTGACTTTTCACTGAGCTGCTACATGAATGCCTGGCAGGACTGTTTGTATTATGTTCCAAAGGCAATGGTTTCAACTAAACAAGCTATAGGCAAAGAAAGAGGGAATCCTCCAATATGGCCAATAAAGATACTTTTTTTCCTAGATCTGTTTTGCACAGATACAAAAAGGTTCTCATATTGTCCTACTGTCACTGCTCACCAGATATGGGTATGATTAATTATTAGTGGATGCCACTATACCATACCAGTAGCAGTGTTCCTCCAAGAGCCAAGCAGAAAACCATCGGCCCTGTCAGGTCCGTCTCGTTCATAATGCTGCCATCTGCTGGCTTCATTGGGTTGAGGACCGTTAACGTTTTCTGCCAGATGTGATCGAAATTGATTCCCAGTTCTGCAAGAGAGAATAGTTTCAACATTGTTCTTTATCTCACGGGAAAGCCTTGGACGAAAAAGTTCATTAGGGATCTTGACTCCCCAAATAATTCTCAGTCGGTTGGCCATATACAAATTATTCTAATGACTTGTACGTGGTATCCAAGGCATCATTTGGATTCTAGATAGGAAGGTATCGATTACTCAGTTATGAAAGAGGGGACTTTGTAAACCAGACAGCAATACTGTCCTCATATGCCTTTGATTTATCATATGCCCAGAAATAACATGGGCATTATTTTATAGCACCGATGTGTATAAAATAAACGTTGAATAATTTGATGAAGAGTTTTGAAGATAATAAAGTTGCGCACTCCATTTTTCTTGTATGTCATACAACATGAGGACAGAATGAGATTGATTCTAGCATGGATGCTGATGGACATGCTGTTTAGAAATAGGGCTGCCTTTTATTAATATGATTGTTATTGAATGCCTTTAATGCAAGACACTACTCTGTTCCCATAAGCTGATTCCCAGTTTTGACTGGGAATGGATGGGTGCACCTACAGATGCCCTGGCTTCAGAGTCAGGGTATGTATTAGAATTGAGTACTGGGGGCTTGTAGTACTAGTGGTCCACCGAGCCAAATTCAGTCCATGCTTTGCTTGTGGTAGAAATTATTTGACATGTCAGCCTGTCTAGGACTACAAAGACAGCTTCTCAAGCACATGGTAAGCTCAGCCCTTGGCAGGTGTCCTGTTCCAGGCAGTGAATATATTTTTATTTTCGTGGCACTCTATGCCAGAATAACTTCGCCATGTCTTATCTTTTCCTAAACTTGGTTCAGGAAAGGGACTCAAATACCAAGGAACCACCTCCTTTCATAGTATCTTGCTCATGCACGTGGTTGTTCAATTAGCAGTGGTGTGGCCAACAACATGGCTTGCCCGCTTGGGAGCCTCTCCCAGTTCACTGGCAGAGCACACAGTCTGGGTTTTGGTGAAGCCAAGGTATAAGATTCATTAAGGATTCGGGAGGCAGTACAGAATGGGGAAAGGGTTAGTCAGTTGCAGAGCACAACATGATAAGCAGACTAAGGTGACAATTCGGTGGCAAAAGACAAGGAAGCACAGGCCTGCAGCAAGAAATGTAACTAATGATAATAAAGTCTTCCCTCTGCCTTTTGGGGAAAGCTACAACTGGGCACCTGGACTGCAGAAACACTTCTGGTGCTTGCGTCAATCTCTTCTGCTTCCTGCACTGACTGTCCAGTGCTCATCTCCAGCTCTGAGATGGACTCTAGAAGATTCCTGGACAAGATGCTCCTCAATAAGTTAGCTAAGCTTGAGGTACTTGGCCTTGAGATGCCCTCAGCCAGGACATCTGCATTGCAATGCCAGCATCTGGAGGATCTGGCCTTTAGTTTTAGCATGGGCCTGCAAGTGATGGCAAAAGGGAGGTAGGTGTCTTTCTCTTGAGTCTGGGTAGGACAAAGTCAGCAATGTTTGGCTGAGTTGGCCACTTCAGGCTGACCACAACAGCACTGCAGCCTAAATATCTCTACTAGTGATTGTACATGGAGTTTTCTAACCTAACACAGTTGTTGCCATTAGTGTAATGTAGAACCATCATGATTCACAGGCCTGTTCTTAAGTTTTGCCTTGGCATAAGCCACCTTAATTTAAGAAAACATGAAAATTTATTACAAGATATGTAAACAAGATTATAACAAGTGTTTATTAATTATAGGTACCTTAACATGATACCTGATTGTGCAATATAAACACAGAGGGAAATGCAATGCTGTGAAGTCTGAAAGCAAAATTTATTGTGCTGCTGTCATCTAGAGGTAGTAAAGTCTATGATATATGTGCCATAAAAATGAGTTAACGCCTTTATTTTCCATGCAAATTGTGGTGCTGCCCTTTCAAACATAAACATGTGTGTGTTACAAATGCAAGACGACAAATTAACCCGATTCCCTACCTTCTGTAACAGCATAGAATGGAATATTGCTTCTAAACATACTTTTTCACCAAGAATATTTGGACTGTGTGATGATCAACCTAGTTACAGTTCTGGGCCCAGGACAATTTAAAATGGGGTTTGCATTAACACACACTGAATGAAAAGCTGGTTGACTTTTCGTCTGGCTTGTGTATGCTCATTATGAGAAAGGGAGATTTAATACTGCTGTATAATGCCACATTTTGGACATGATATAATGTCTCTTAAAAGGCTGTGGTCTGCAACTGAATTTTAACATGAAGGAGCCTGTTGTTGCTGTAATGGACCAAGCAAAAAACTAAGCCTTTGATTTAAAAGTCCAAGTGATGGGACCCATGAAGGAATTTGAAATCGGAGTGGTGGTCCCTAGTGTGACCTTGGATGGCAAAATGTAGGTTTCTTTTGTTGAACATCCAGAAAGCAACATGTTCCAGGTACCTACCTGTTAACTCTGAGAAGAGTGCAGAAAGCAGGGACTATAGCTCAGTGGTAAAGCAGGAGTTCTGCATTCACAAGGTCCCAGATTCACTTGCTGGCTTCTCCAGGTAGGGCTGCTGCCAGTCAGTGTTGACAATACTGAGTTAGATGGACCAAGGGTCTGACTCAGTAAAAGACACCTACCTATACCTATGAGATGTTTTTTGCCTACTTCTAGATTACTCTTTGTTAGTAGCCTATATTTTATGGTATCTTATCCAAACAAAATACACATTGTCATTAAATGTTAATTGTTATCTATATAAGGATGGGGGAAAATAAATGGCTTAGTTGATAGCACAAGCATCTGTGATGATGATTAACAGATTCTACTTTATGCATAGCTGCCAGAACATGCAAAAAAGTGTAATTAAGTGTTTTAATTCTGTACCTTCTAGCAAAGGAGGTTCTTCATCAAAGCTGTCACAGTAAACACTATTAGATGGAAACTCGGAAGCATATGCTGGTTGAAAGATCTGGCCAGGATATGGGTGAGAAGATGAAAGCATTTCTGCAGGAGCAAAGGTATTTGACTGTGGCAAGGAACCCATCCAACCTCTACAATAAAGGGGACATTGCTATCAGAATCAAAGAACATATTCCTACAATCTCTTATGTAATATATTAGATCTTATTAGGATTAATATGTGAAATGTAAGTATTTTGGTAGCTGCACATGGTGTTCCAACACCTCTAAAATTAAGACAATCAAAGCCGGTAAGACGATAACCTCCTGTAGATTGCATCATTTCACCTGTTTTGTCTCCCCACAAAAATATCTCAATCTAGTCTGGTTCATACCTTAATGTTGGTGTAGGAACCACTTCCATGAGGATTCCTCCCAGATCAGACTAGTGGTGATCGCATCAAAGAATAATATGAATAAGACTACTGTCTCCTTCCTGAGCAAATGTCCCGGTCCTTCCTGAGCAAAATTTATGGAGAAAGTAATATTTCCATCCACAAGATTCTCCAGGGACTGTCTGCATGAGAAAGCCACAAGGAAGCAGTTCCTATGCCACTGTCTGTGCGCTGCCCTTGGTTGAAGGTAAAAAACAGTCATCACAGTCCTTTTCATTTTATGATGGGGTTAACAGCTAATACAGTTTAGACATTGGTGTATCATGATGCAGAAAGGTATACTTTACAACATTTGAAGGTGATCACGGAGAGGAAGGCCAGGGTCTCTTACTGATCATCTCAAAGTGCAGGACGCAGAATAAGGGACTCAAGTTACAGGAAGCTAGGTTCAGAAAGAGTAATACAACAATGGAACAAATTACCTAGGAAGGTTGTGGGCTCTTCCATACTAGAAGCATTCAAGAAGCAACTGGACAGCCATCTGAGAGGGATGGTTTAACTTAGAATCCTGCACTGAGCAGGGGATTGGAGTGATGGCCTTCTTGGCCCCTTCCAACTCTATTATCTATGATTCTATGATGTGAAAATTGATTAATGTGTTTCTTCAAGTGGAAAGACATGGCTGGTTACAGAGATCAGAAGAACTGAGCAGTTGCAAAGGTCTAGGAATATTAATAAGCCCACTGGCCAAAGACTAGTATTGCCATTTTGGCTTTGTTTAGGTTTGGTGTCAAACCAAGTTCAAACTAGCTGGACCTTCTGCCACATGAGATCACACTCTTGTTGTCACACAGCGGCCTCTGGGATATTATTGTTGTTATCATTGTAGTTAAATTGTGGCACTTGACAGCAGGCAGTGCTCACTGTTGTTGATCTTGACAAACATTTGTCAAGTGGACTTTGGTTCTTGGTTTATGACTTTGGTTCCTCGCAGGAAAAAGTTGGGATATAATAAATACTAAATAAAGCAATGACACCTACATACCTCCATCTCTCACAAGACATGGCCATACCCTATAGACAATTTTGGGCTCCTTCTAGGTCATGTTGTTCCAAAAATCTTAGAGCTGGCTCTGTTAATTTTGCTATCTGCAGATTAAGTAGGACCAATGATCATTGGGTTTTGGATGCAATGATGAACAGTTACAACATCTGGAATTGTTTAGAGGAAGTGTGAAGGAAGGTAGAAATGATAGATCTGTACAAAACTATGCATAAAAGGGGTTAAGCAAACATTTTTCTCCTTCACTTATAATGTTAGAACATAAAAGATAATTCTTGTGAGATTCAGGACAGATCAAATGAAGTACTTCTTCATACAACATTAGCTAAACTATGGAATTAACTTCTACCAGATATAGTGATGGCCACCCATTTTTTTTATGGGAAATTGCAGGAGAAAGCTATCAGTGGCTACATGTTCCCACAGTTATACACAGCCTCAGCAATCAGCCAGGTCATGCATTGCTTACCCTCTTCTGAGTGGTCGTCTCCATATTCCAAACTGATTTAAAAGGAAGAGTCAAGTAGAGTGACAAAAAAGCTTTTGAAAAACTGACAGAGGGTCTCTTTCTATGTTACAACTCTTTCTCTCCTTTTTAAGGCAGAGGGAGTATAAAGCACCCTCACCATAATGTACTTTCACTTACTTACTTTCAGTTATGAGGTTAAAAATGCTTGGAGCATTGCTTTTAACTTCTTCCTGTATTAAGCACTGCACCGTATTTATATGAATGTAAAAAGATAAATTCGTAACAATGTAAATTGCAAGTATTATTGCAAGCTATTCTCCTTGAAATGCAATGTGAAAATTAAATCAAACAATTTTTTTCCTATTTCCAGAACTTACTTTTTGCTTTCACGAACATTCCCAGTGACTCCACACTCATCATAACCTTGTTGCTGGTTATTGGTGGTATAGTTTGACCGGTAAAAGTCTATATCAAATTGTTCAAAGTTCGACATTCTGAGGAAAAGGAAACAGATTACTTAGCGACAAAAAAGTATCAGCGTTTTATCTGTGTATCTTTTGGGGCAAAAATTCGAAATCCTCGTTTACTTGAAAGGATGGGCTCTTGCTTTTAATGCAAATGTAGCGTCAGCGGCTGAATGTGAACTAGTGAAAACATCTTGTGATATGAGCTTCTCTGTCCTGTAATGCTTGTCTGTGTTTTTCAGTGTCTCCCTTTTCTCCTGGCCACCTGCCTCTCATTTGCTGTCTTTGGTTCACTCCCAGTCATGCATGACTTGCTCAGTTTGCCCCTTCTCCTAGTTCTAAGATTACAGTTCCCCTTTGCTGTCTATGGACCTTTTAATTCCTCTTTTCCTCCTTGCAGTCTTGCTTCTTTTATTTACTTATAAGCGTTGCATTTATTATCACTGGTGCTTGAGAAAGGTAACAACAGCAAAAATCTAACCAAGCATGGATTGTGGCAATTGGGTAAAGATCAGGTCTCCTCTTAATGCGGAGATATTAATGTTTATGCAAAATTCAAAATTGATGTCATAATGTATGCATTTTGCCATGTATGAGTGAATTGTTTTAACTCTTGAGTTTAAGGAAAAAAATGATGGGTGGATCCGCCGAGGGGTTTATGTCTAAGTCAATATGCATAGGCTTGGACAGCAAAATCCAAAATCAGGACTAAATCCTTGGTGGTGAAGAGTGCCATGCTACTGGACTGCCAGTCAGTAGATGAGAGATGCCCATCTCAGAGCCCTCAACATTTCCTAGGCCCTGCCAGCAACACAAGGCATGGGAGGGAGAATGCCAGAGTGCCTCTCTTTTCTCCTTTGCTGTAAAGTGAATTCTGCAGGTCTCTGAGCCATGTATTTCTTCTACTTGGTTAGCAGCTTTTGTAAATAGATGCAAATTTGTAAATTATTAGTACAAATTAAATAGAAATGCAATACACCTGAATGTAGCAGGGAAGACTGTGACCGGGTAACTGGTGTCCCTCTTCTGTCTGTTATCCTGGCAGTGATTGTTGATGGAAAACTTCAGTGCCCTTCACTGCCTTCTTAGGATTCCTGGCTTCGAAATGGATTTGGCCCTGACAGCCCTTCCAACAGAGAGTGGGTCACTTGTGGTTCTACAGTATTTTTGGCCAAAACCCCCTACCCAGCATAGCCAAAAGGGTTTTAGGTCAAAACATCTAGATACACCTTCGATCAGAGGACTGCCCTATGTCCACCCTAGTTCTCTCCAGTAACTAATACATGACAAACTTGTAAACTTTGCGTTACAGATGGGGGCAGGATGTGCAGATGGGTCACAAAATACTCTTCTGTATGGATGATAGTACAAAAAGATATATACTTCCATGCAGTGAAAATTAGATTTTAGAGGGACATGAGAGAGCTCTATAACATCACCAATGCAAAGAGGAGGGTGAGGAGATGGTTAGAATATTTCCGCAAAATTTCTGCATTAGCTTTAAGTCATGATTAACTTAGCACCTTAAGCTGAGGGGTTGAACCTACCTTAGGGTGCCCTCCTATGTGTATTTAGACAGAAAAAAACTCATAAAACTGGCTGGGGTATGATGGCAGTTGTAGGATTATTTTTTGTCCAAACATGGATAGGATTTCACCTTTGGACAGGAAAAATAGAGGATTCGACTGAATGGAGGATAGGTTCATGACCTGACATGGGAACCAGACAGAGAAAAGCCACTCTCCTTGTGTTTAGAAGTAGACCTGGGCCAGGGTTCTGGAACATTTGACAGGCCTTTGATTACATAAAGAAAAAATGCAAAAAACTTGTACATGGCTTTTTAAAAGAAATTCTCTTATGTACAATCAGTATTTCATTTGGAGTTCTTAAAACAACCCCCCAACACACTGCACATTTACAAATCTTAAATTTTATTCTATAGTCAAATTATTCTGCTTCAGTCTGATACTTCCATTCATCAAAAACATTTAACACTGTGGTTATCCCATATAGTAACTCTGTTTCTTACGAGTTAACAAATCATACATGTTTCCTAAGTTAGAATACAAAACTGATTTATTTTTAATAAGTCTAGTAAATTAGAGATTTTTATTAGAAATGTGACATTTTCTATGAATTATGCACACATAAAATTATGAACTGAATTATAATAATTCTTAAGACATCATAGGATAATATTTTAAATTTTAATTTTCAGTACAATTTTAATGCTTTAAAATTCTCAGAAGTACCAATCCCCACCCTGAAAACGCGAGCAATTATCATTTATGGTGAATAAAATGTGCATCTGCTAACAGCTGGATCACAGAGGATGAGTAGCTTCAAACATTTTAATTTTAGGCCCATACCTCTTAAAACTGCAGATGAAAATTTCCTACCATAGATTCAGCTTACAGACAGAGAAACTGGCCAAGTATTCTACTGTGTTAAGCAGGGTGATCTTGAGCTATTTATAAAGTCCTAAATTTGGACTTCCAGCAGATGCATGACAGAAAGAAAGCCGCTCGATGTCACGGGCAATATTTCCAACATGATGTTTGGTAACAACAATAATGAAAGAGAAACCAGTCATTCACTGACCTGAGCCTTAAAACAGAGCAGGTTTCTGTTATGAATTTTACATTCTTGTGTAGAGTGACCAGATATGGATGTGCACAGACTTGTGTACCTTTGCATCTCTAGAGAAGACACTTTGGAGGTCCTTTAGGAGTGAAAAAAAAATCAGCCTTAAATTCCCTCTTCTACTCAAGTGCAACCTTATATACATTTATATGGGAGCAAATGCTGTTGAACTTAATGGAGCTTACCTTTGAGTAGCTGTGCATTGGACTGTACTATGAGCTGGGACATTCCCATTTAAAATCTCACGTAAGGTCAGCCCATGGAGGTCAAGCTGCAGGAAGCGGAGGTGCTATTTTCTAAGCCCTACTGGGTTTGCCAGCGGCAGAGTGTCCATTTGTGACTTGCCAAAAGAAAATATGCATCAGCAACCCTCGTTTGCGTAGCATTTGGCATATGCTGATTAATACATATAGATGCAAATTGAGAAGTCTTACTATAATTTAAATAGAAATATGGTATATCTTGGCATAGTGTGCAAAACTGTGTCTGGGGTGGGTGATCTGTGTGGCTTGCTAAGCCAGCTATTAGTGGCCCATTTCAAAGCCCAGCATTTCCCAAGAAGGCTTTTATTTTTAATGGGCCAACAGCTTTTCAAATAGAGGACTATGCTCTGTAACTAGCACACATGGTCACCCTACCAGGCTTAAAATTCCGGTTGTCGCAGCTCTTCCCTCTAATCCAGGGACCTCCTTCTGGAGATGCCGCTTTGGCTTTCTGACCAGGCATGGAGTTTTCCATCTCTGATTAAAGGGCAGCCCTCACTGAGATGGGTGGACCTCCTGCTGAAGAGGGAATTATGCAATATCCTATTCTCACAAGATTATACTCTTAGCATGCAATCCTAGGCATGTTTAGACAAGAAAAAGCCCTCCAGCTCCCAGCATTTCCCAGCCAGCTAGCCCTTTGCATGTTTACTCAGAAGCACATCACCCCATCTACCAAACATCTTTAGAATCGAAGCCTTACAAATGGATCTCATCCATGAGCGCTTGACAGCATCATTACATCGAATGGGGCTTTCTCCAAAATCAATGTGTTTAGGACACCTGTATGTGACTCTTTTCACCTTCTACAACATTCTTGTTTCATCCTCTGTGCTAACAGCAAACTCATTCTCCCCATGCAGATCTTTATGTAGCTGAAACAGCATAATTGGTACACAAGTATCAGCAAACTTGGGGCAAACTCCAAGCTTTTCAGAAATACAGAAACACTCCTGAAAATCTTAAGAGATTTCTCCAGGTTTGCTGATAAAAACACTCTTTTAAAAACCTAAAATATAAAACACTCTACTTAATACACTTAAGGGGACACCCCTCCACACACACACACACACACACACACACACACACAAATAAAAGCCAAAAGAGATCCCTGGGCACAAGATGTTGCTCATCTGTTTGAAGAAATAAAAACAAAAGGAAAAATGGGAGTGGGTGGGAAGGGAGTATCCTGGGAAAGGGTGTGTTTGGCTGGAATCTTGAACAAGAGCACGTTTTATGGAATAACAATACTGACCTACCTCTATTATCCTTAACTTGTTTTAGATTAAGAGATCTGAAACACTGTCCTAAACTGTCAAACCAGTATCAGAAAAAAGGACAAAGGTTAAGTGGAGGAGGCATCAACAGCATCATCCAGCAGCCCTACAGCTACTAATACTATAGTGGGTGCTTAGAGCACTTGTACGTACTTCAGGTTCTGTAGTTGCAACAGCTTGTTTACCAGTCCTTCTCAGGATCTTAAACAGGCCCAGGTGGGAAAAGTGCAATCTCTCCATTGTCATGGTCTTGTTCAGAAATGTTGCAGTGCTCCACAGGATTGCCTGGGTTTTGCAGATCTGTTATGTCTTGTGTATTTGTCGAAGGTGGCAGAATCTAGCAGTGTAGCTCAACAGGACAAATAGGCGCTCAACACAAGTGAACACTCGATTTCTGGATTTGGATAGGAATGGCAGTAATTTTCCTGCAATTTAATTTTCCTGTATTTATCTCTGTGGCATTTTGAAATGTGTCGTATGCAAACTCTTCTGAAGATTCAGAACCTTCTTGAAAAATTAATGTGAATGTACGAGAAGGAAAATACACTTTCAAATGTCACATTACCATGCCAGAGGGTAGAGGGAGATTTATAAGCAGTAAAACTCTCCTCATCAATAATATTCAGTGTTTTTTAACATCCTTTCAACATTCAACTGGGTTAAATGATGCTACCTGTTAAACACTTCCACAAAATCAAATCAAATTAAGTATTGGTAAATCATAGTCCATACTTCTTAACACTAAGTTTGCCACTCACTTGTCTTGAGATGTATTCTGGAAAAAGGCATCCTTGTTCATTCTCTAGTGCAGCCTCCCACCCTCCAGAGATGCTCAATTACAACCCTGTCACCCCAGCTAATTTAATTGTTGTAAGCCACACAGAGAGTCCAGGTCCGGGCTACTGTAGCAGCAGATACATTGAAATAATACATAAACAAACAAACTAGCTTGAACCATGGCTGGATGGGGATAACAAGGAGGCCGGGGACATCCGCTGTAAAGCTTCAATTCCAGTCTTGGTTTGGTGAAAGATTTCATGTCCTTTGATGCTAGCTTTGGTTTCTGAAACCATTTGCTATACTGCTTGAATTGGAATTCTCCCACTTCCACTCCATATCCAGCAGTCTACTCATGATCATTGTTGGGTGGAAGAGGTCGAGGATGTACTGAATATATTAAAAAGGAACACAAGGAAAATGTGTTGTTGTTATCTGCGGTCATCTCTGACTTACAGTGAGCCTGTAAATGAAAGCCCTCCAAAATGTCTTGTCCATGATGGCCCTGTTTAGTTGTTCTAAATTCATTTCATCTTTTGTCTTTCCTTCTCTTTTTCTGCCATTGACTTTCCCTGACATGATTGTCTTCCAGGAGTCTTGTCTTCTCATGATGTGTCCAAAGTATGAAGCCTCAGTTTTGCCATTTTTGTTTCTAGGGAAAGCTCTGGCTTGATTTGGTCTAGGACCCACTTGTCTTTCTGTTAATCCAGGGTGTTCTCAAAACTCTCCTCCAGCAGCATGTTTTGAACATACTGATTTTCTTCCTGTCAAGCTTTCTTCACTGTCCAGCCTTCACACCCATACACTGTGATTGGGAATACACTAGTTTGGATGATCTTGGTCTTGGTCTCCAGTGAAACACCCTTACATTTGATGATCTTTTCGAGTTCCTTCCTAGATGCCCTTCCAAGTCCGAAGCTTTCTTGACTGCAGTCTCCCTTTGAACTGATGACTGAGCCAAGGAATGTAGCATCTTTCACAATTTCAGTGTCTTCATTGTTGAGAGTGAAGTTGTAGAATTCCTCTGCAGTTGATTTTTTCCCTTAATGTTCATCTGTAGTCCTGCTTATGCACTTTATTTTTTCACTTTCATCAGCTGTTTCAGTTCATTGCTGCTTTCCGCCAGTAATACGGTGTCATCTGCATATCATAAATTATTGATGCCTTCCACCAGTTTTCACTCCTTTTTCTGATCCTAATCCAGCTTTCCTTATTATATGTTCTGTGTACAGGCTGAAAAGACAGGAAGATAAATGCATCCTTGACTGACACCTTTGCGTATAGTAAACCATTCTGTTTCTCCATATTCTGTTCTCACAGTAGCTTCTTGTCCACACTATGTCCTCCCCAATAACCATTTTATTTTTGTTACATAGGAGGCAAATAGCCTAAGAAGAGCTGTGATAGAACAGACCAAGAACCATCTAGTCCAGGATTCTGTCCAGCCAGTGGCCAACCAGCAAGCCATGGGGGAAGGATACAAGTGCTACAGCACCATCCCATCGTGTTCCTTAGTACTGCTGCATAGGTCCACAGCCTCTAGCATGGAAGATAGTAGAGTGCTATCAGCCATGGATAGCCTTATCCCCGGGAAATGACCAGTTCCCTCCATCTAAACAAGTGGCCATCACTACATGCAGTGGTAGCAGATTCCATAGCTTATGCACTGTGTGAAGAAATACTTTTATCTTGCGATTGTCCTCTGATTATCATCAGTTTAATTCCGTATGAAACTAAGTGCTGCATGTCACATAAGAACAAAAAAGCTATGTAGATCAGTCCAAGGATTCATCTGGTCTGGCATTCTGTTCACAAAGTGGCAAACCAGCTGCCTGTGGGAAAGCCACAAGTGGGATGTAACAGCACCCCTACATTCCTATTCCCCAGCAACTGGCACAAATAGGCACACTGTCTTTTGGTATTTGAGGTACATATAGCCATCAGGACCAATAGAGATAGGTAGTCTTCTTGTCCATAAATTTGTCCAATCTCCTTTCCAAGTCACAGGTGGCCATGACTACATTCCTCATGTTCCCCAGCAATGCAGGCAAAGACCCACACATAATCAACACAGCATAGTAGCCCATGACCAGTAGCCTTGAGGTCATTCCACTCATTATATTAGGGAAGTATTTTCCCCTATGGGAAAGATGCCACAGCAGGCTTTAGCTATGCAGAAGTATTTTGTGGTGTACATTCCTTTCACAGGAGCATTAAAACATTGTTTGGTCACCACACATTATGGGACAGATTCAGAATGTTAGTTGACCATAGATTCCATTGAAATTGACAGGATGGGTTATTTATGGCTTATAGTTTATTGATTTTGGTGGGGACTAAAAGCAACTAATTCCACATGAATACAGCCTTATATCACTATGATAATTAAAAAGTAGTGCACAGAATGATATTTTTTCCAGTGTTTCATTTCCACATTATGGTGCAAATTTTCAAGCAAAGTTGAAGAAGGAAAATAAAATCAGTAGAAAGAATCACATCCGAAATAACACAGTATTTGCTTGATGTCCATGGCTGAATTGCATCTAGTTGTATTTCAATTATATTTCATTAGCACAGAGGGCTGTCCTGCTGCATTTGTTCAAGACTTTATCCTTGTGTCACAAGAAAATGAACTGTGACTGATTGTAAAAAATGTCAAGGAGGAAGAAGGGACAGAGTTAGCCTGCTGTGAAGGGTTGCATTCTTAGAAATCATGATAATTGAAAAATATAATGAATCTGTGCGTTTTACTTCACCTCATTTCAGCATTGCAAGATTTGTGTTATTGATCTGTGCCACTGCAAACGATTAGAAAATGAATTTATCAACAAATAAATACTGTACTAGAATTTTCTACAGCAGAGCGCTTGCATGGTTTGTAA